TATCAGATCAGAAAATTTTTCACGTTGTGTTAGCATATACACTTTTTAAAACACTTTCGACTTCGTTTTTAGCCTAGAATCGGCTAAACCGTAGCTCTGATACCATTAAATGTAACACCCCCAACCCGTATCCGACCCGGATACGAGTCCGAAGTGTCACATTGACTTTTCAAACATTTATTCGTATAAAATAGTGAGTAATTTAAAAACTTTTATAACATTTAACTTATTCAAAACGTTTATAAAATATATCAGAGTTCATACAATTTATATCTTTAGACTACATGCCAACTACACTCTATATACAGTACATATATTTTCTGATCTGACATTTGGTAAGGAGAACTGACATGTCTTGCTCCGCATTACTCTTTACTCTTCTTGAAACCTACGTGTGAAACAATCACACGCTAAGTCGTTGACTTAGTAAGGCATATAAAACATATAATATTTCATATAACATAAAGCATACATAAACATATACCATCATTATCATAATCTCTATCATTATCATTAAGAAACACACAAAACATCATATGGTTCATGTAACACATTTCAAACCATTTATAAACCCATCGTATACATATCACATTCAGTATGTTTGTTTAATCTCTTTATTAGCCCATGTACACTAGTGAGAACTTAAGGTATGTGAGTACATTGAGGTTGTGCACACATATGCTGTTACCACAGCTCGATCAATGTCCCGAAGGACCTATCCAGAGGTCACAAGGAACCTCGGTAACTATCCATAGGTCATAAAGATCCTCGGCAACTGTCCATAGGTCCCGAAGAACCTAGGTATAATGTCTATATGTTCCTTAGAACATATGTATACTATCCATATGTCCCGAAAGACATAGGTAATTATGTCCATATGTTCCGTAGAACATAGGTAAACCCTCGACTCTTGGCATGACAACTATACCACTAGTTCTCATATTACATAACATGGGCATTATCATTATGAATACATTTCTCATCACTTGTTCTTTCTCTTCTGTCACATACCACATGTATGTGTAACCATGTATTTCATATCATATATCTTATAATAGATTCTTATATCATCATTTGTTTCCTTCCTACCTATTCACAATCACACTAACATGTAATGCAAGCAAGATGTATTAATACATACATGAAATCACATAACTTATATCATATCATTTCTCTTATAAACACACATCTTTTCTTTTCTGTCACGTATCACATATACGTGTAATCATTAATCTTATAATCCCATGTTCTTTCTCTTCTGTCACATACCCTATGGATGTGTAAACATATATCTCATAAACATATATTTATGAATCTCATATCGTATCACCTATTCACATAAACATGTAATCCACTTTCACATATCACTTAACATATTTTCTAATATGATCACATAACTCATATTATCTATCTCATGTCATATTCTCATGTATTTACTTAATTCAGTTTCACATAGCTTGTCACATAGACATGTATTCTCATATATATTATAATTTCGTATAGTTCAATATCACATATCACATATACATGTAATCATGTACTCATACACACATAAGCATCATATCATTCACAAATCAAATAACATTTTAGGAGTCACTTCTTACCATAGTAACTCCATCACTGGCTCATCACAAGCCAATGTTTATTCGATAACATAAGTACAATTAAATTGCACTCACCTTGGTCTCACTAGTCAATTTCAATCTCTTATCTTTCCCTTAATCGATCTTACTTGTCAAATGTTCTGGAATTGCTTTACGCGCAGAATCTACATAAATGTACATTTTGAGGCAATCATTAGATACCTACACCTTGTAATTGGATACTAGCAACTTAAACAAACTTATTAAACCAATATTTATAATTTTCCTTTAGGGGGAATCGGTTCCCTCCTGTGGGGGTATCGGTTCCCCTCTGGCATTCTAGAATTCCATGTTCGTTTGAAGGGGTATCGGTTCCCCTTGAATGGGTACCGATTCCCCTTGCCCAGAAATCACATTTTTGAGCTCGAAATTCACTTCATTTCAGCTTAAACCTTCATATTTTACTTCCTTTAATATTCCTAACTTCCCCACACATATTTAAACTCATTTCTATTCCATAATCACTTCTTTAAACCCAAAATTTCATCATTTACATGGCATTCAAGAATCACACTAAATTTTCAATGTGTTCTAATTCCAATTCTAACACTTCATACTTCTTAATTAGATTGATGACAAGTCAAATTCATCCATAAAACTTCAACAACCATACCATATCAAAATTTCATCTTAAAACTCATATTACAAATTCCTTCTTAATTCCTTTATCGTATTGTTTAAATCCCATATAAGCTTTCCTTAAGCTTATTTAATACCCAAAGAATCAAACTAAGCTTAAACCTCAAAATTTACCAACTGAAATTAAACTTACCTATTGTAGCTAAGCCCCACGTGAAGAAGAGAAAACAAGAAGAAGAAAGCTTCCAGATAGCTCTCTTCCCACGTTTTTCACTCTTATAAAAGGGGAAAATATCTTTTAAAGGAAAAAGACCATAATACCCTTAATTTCCTTTAATAATTACTAAATAACTTTCATCATATATTCCAATAATCATTGAATTATTTCATTCTTCTACTTTAGTCATCAAATTCTGAAACTTTTCAATTTAGTCACTAACCCGATATTGTGGATGTTACAATTAGCACCCCCACAAGCACCCAAAAAGTGGTACCTAGTCAATTACCCTATATTTAAAATCGGAAATTTTGAGTTCTATCTTTATTTAATTTAAAAATCATTACGGATTCAAAGTTGAAAAGGGTATTAGTTTATTAACACCGATAACATTCGCTCCCAAGCGTAAATGCGGGATATAAACTATTGTCAAGGAGATTAGTTCTAACTTAGCATTTGAAAAGCTATGGACTTGTAAATGTTATCTCTTTGTCCTGGAAAAAGAAAAAACAAATTAGTGAATTTGTTAGAAAATCCTAAGTGAGGAGCTTAGGTAGTGGATGTAGACTTGGTTGAGAAGGCGAACGACTATAAATCATTGTGCAAATTGTTTCATCTTTATACTCCTTACTCCCTAAACTTAAAAAGCTAATTCACCCCTCTTGGCAAATAAATCGGTTGATCAATTTGAGCTTCATCGAATCCCAACATATGTAATATGCCAATATGTGAAGTTGTTGGTTGAACAAAATATAATGCTCCTTGTTCAGTGTTAGTTGCATCTATTAGAAACTAATTCAGATACAATGTAAAATACAAACTAGTTTGGTATGCGAATGTGAAGGCAATAAGATTGATATATGACGATTGAAATACATCATACAATGAGCTACCGGATTTGTTACAAGCTATAAATGTTTCATCCCGAGAATCATAGTGAAATCTCAAACCATGCCTGCATACAACCTAGAAGGTCAACCTTTCCAAGAGACTTTTTAGGCGTTCAAGCTATGCATAGAATGATTTCCATTTTGAAAGTGTATGGTCCAAGTAAATAGGATGTGGCTGTATGGGCAATATAATCATATAATTTATTCTATAACCATAATAGCTTCAAACGCGACCCTTTTAAACTAGATGGTGTCTTCTCGAGATATTTATGACAAACTAAAATCGGGTACTTTTCATTTTTTCTCACCATTGACATCCCATTTATTGGGACTCCGAGTTGAAGAGTCACATCTTCGAGAGTGATTGTGCATTCTCCACACAGTAGATGAAATGTATGAGTTTTATGCCTCCACCGTTTAATCAACGCACTGATCAAACCAAGAATCAATTTGAAGTCTCGAACAAACGTGACATCATAAAATCCAACTACTTTCAAATTATAGATAATAAAATTGTGCGACATACCACAAATATTGATTTGAATATGAAAGTGTTATTGCTCGTCTTCCTGCATTTTTTCAATCCATTAAATTAATCATAAAATATAATTTTCATATTTAATAAGTAATCATTAAATAAAATATATTAATTACATTTGACTTTTGAAATGATCACCACCAAACAATAATGGGCAACTAAACAAGCTGGAAATGAATATTTGTCTCCACGATTTTTTTTCAACACCAGCTTTCTTCCTTCTCTTTCAACCATATGAACAAACTATTCCCTCACCCTAATATATAATATCATCACCGCTTACCCATCTCATCAAACCAATAATACACTGCACCACTTAGCTACCATTCATTCACGAGTGCATGCATTCATTCACAGGTAGCACCATCTATTTTTTCACCGTATGGAGTAGCAGCGCTGCACAGTTCAACTTTGCATGGGGCACAGATGCCTATTGAAGGCGCATAGAATTCTTATAGTCTTCACCTTGAAGACGTGTAGAAATCCTAAGGTCTTTAAATTTCTCATACAGATTGAAGATGTGTAGAAAACATGAAGAGTTTGGCTTGAAGACGTTTTCTCCGAATCGCATGGATTACCATGTGTATTCAAAGATTATAGTAGAATTCACTTTATTTGAGAAAATAAACTATGAAAATACACCAACTTTTGATTCTGAATATTTCAATAATTAAAAAGGAAAAGAATCAAAAAAAAAAAAAAACAGTACAGCTCTGAGGAACTGGAGAAGAGTGGTCTACACATATCTCAAAGTAGTACACCTAATAATTCTAGGAATATAGGTTAAAAGAAGATATCCCCCTCAATAAAGCAAATAAATTCATCACTAAATTAATGCATATCAAGTTCCAAGCAAAATTAGTGCATAGACTAGTCAAGTCAATATATTGGGGAGAGGGCACAGTAAATTATTGAGAAATGGCTTAATTTTAGCTTCCAATTTTGTCCCTATTATGTCCAGCGAAAACAAAAAGTAAAGAAGCAGAAGAAAGAGACATTTCCTGGATTTGTAATTAATTTCTTCCATCATCTCACTACTCTTAAAGCCATTTGAGGAAAAAGGGCTACATAATACACCACCCCCGTTGATTTATCATATATATAATTATGTAAACTGAGAAAAATAATTATTTGCAACGGGAGAGAAGAGAGTTTTACATGGAACAAAATTGGGATTTGGGAGATGGTTTTTTCTTTTTTTTTAATCTGTGAATAAACTTTTGGGAAATGAAAATTACAAAATACCAACAATGTCCCAATCTCCCTTACCTCTCTCTCCGTCTCTATGTGGATTCAGAGACAAACAACTTCAATACAGTGGAGCTCGCTGTGGGGTTTTCTTTCTCCGGTTTATCAGACTTCCCGAAACTCCGGATACTGTCGGAGGGCATGTCGGACGACATGCTTTTAAGCTACTCCGCTTCTTCCTCACGATCTCTGTCGTGGCAGTGGAATTAAACGAAACCTCGCCGCACGCACCAGACCCGGAAGATGTCTTGGTTGAACCAGACGGTTCGAGGACCGAGTCGGGTGTCACCAAACCATCCTCCGACCCCACCTCGGGTAAAGGCAAGAAATTGCACTCGAACAGGAACTTCGAAACCCCGTCTTCTGTTCTTAACAGATAATTAAGCTGCTCGAAATCAAATAAACAATAAAATAACAATTATGGGGTTATGGAGGAAGATATAAAAAGAAGAAGAAGAAGGAACCTTGCAGGAGAGAGAGCAAAAGAGATAGGGGTCTTGCAGGCTTCTGTCGCAGGTACTGCATAAATTGCCGGAGCCTCTGAACTGTTTTGTTTGCGGCCTTTGATTTATAAATATCACTTTTGCGCTATTTGTTATGTATGACTAAACACATAAAAAAAGCAGCAGTTAGTATCATTGAACAGTAACAACAACAAAAACACCCAATTCTTGCTGGAAATTCCAGTTTCTTTTTGTTGAACAAGAAGAAGATGAAATGATTGCGTAATTAGAATTTAAAAAGCAAAGACTTTTCATGGGTAGCTAAGCATGCAGATTGAGAAGGAAGTGAGAAGATGCTTTTTTTAATATCTGAATTATGACTTACTTGGACATAAACACAGTCCATTAATTTTGTTGCGTCATCCAACCTTATAACATCATGGTACACATACCTTCTTATCTGTAAAAAATAAAAAAAAATAAAGACCGATGAGTCTTTCATCAAGACATGGAAGCAGGAAGAAGAAGAAGAGAGTGAATTTTGAAGTGAGTAGGGGGACCTGTAAGAGTTTGTGAGAGCTGTGAGGGGACAAGCAGTTAGGGCAAATACTGATACAACAGTCCAAGCAATAGATATTCTTCACGTTTTTCTTGGCATCTTCATGAATTATGCAAGCATTGAAGAACTTCTCAGTCAGAAGAACTTGGAGCCAGCGAGGTAGATGTGAAGAAAACAACTGTTGTGTGGTGGGGGGGGGGGAACCCTAATTCAATTAGCTTTTCCATACGTAACAAACAAAGCGAGATAAACCCAGAAATATAAAATAAAGAAAAGGGAATAGTTACCATGGTTTTGCTGCTTGAATTTTGAAGAAAGAGAGGGGCTTATGAAGCAAGGGGTGGCCTCACCATTATTGCAGCGAAAAGAGAGAAAAGAGAGAGAAGAGGAGGGGGGGTGCAAGGAAAGAGAAACGGCGTCTGGCAATTGCTGCAATGTGGGCTGGCTTCATTTAAAGAGGTGCACTGCCTTTCTTTTGTACGTCATTGGAGTCTATACTATAGTGCAAAGCAAGATTATTTGCAAACAAAATATCAATATTTTAATTACAGGCGGGGCTTGGAAAATGGGACGCCAGGACTAGAATGCATGTAAAAAAATTATCAGTTTCTTTGTTATTATATTACTGTTTACTAAAAGTCCATATCCCCGAAACCCTAAAAACCTAACCATTTGGTTCTTTCTGGATGGTTGAGTTCCTCTCTTTCCTGTGCTTGGTGCAAAATGACAGACCGGAAACCACTGAGGGATGCATGTACATCTTCGGATTAGAAAGTGACCACAATTTTGATTTTATGGAATTTCTTGCACTTGCAGGTTCCATCATGCATGGGTTTAAACCCTCCTCATGCAGTCAGGGCTTGTTTAAATAGTAGTTTTGGCAATGATTCTGGAGACAGCTGATATATGAAAGAAAGAATTCTTGTCTGGGTGGCATGTTTCCAATCCATCAATCAATTATATGAAATCCATTATATGAAATCACCCCCTGGCCCCTACCGTTCCATGAAAACCATTGAATTCATTGTCAAAATGAACCTACCTAAAATCTGAAATAGGTTAAGGGTAAGAATTTTAATATTTATGAATAGAATAAATTAAGTTTAAAATATCATATCTATACTAGATTTTTATTAAATTTAAACTATTAATCAATTAATAGATTGAATATGAGTGATTAAATTAAAATTTAAAATTTTAATTGATTTTCTAAAATGGAATAACTCGGCCATAATTGGAAGGTGTTTTTAGGTGAAAAGTATAGAGATGCAGACAAAAGAGAGGGTTGGGGAGGGGGGAGATGGCATCAAAAATGGTACGAAAGAGAAGCAGCCAACTGCAGCGACAGCACTGCCACTGACCCAACCAGCGTCAAACCCTCCACCTTATCATAATCGCCTCCTTTACTTTTCCATTATTTCTTTTACTATTCTAACAGTGTTTCAGATCATACAATGATTAAAACTTATCCCTTAGTACCCTTGCCCAGTACTTGTGTACATAGGCTTAAAGTGAAAAATAAAAAATAAAAACACCTTAAAAATATTTTTTATATACTTAAAATTTTTATTTTATGATAACTTCTTAAATAATTTTAGTAGTTAAAGAAATATTATTTTTTGTGTGATTTTAAGTTCTAACAATTATATTTGATAATGAACGTATAAATATTTTTGGAAATATTATGTTTTAATGTGAAATGTTTAGAGACAACAATCGTCTCTTAACTACTGAGATTCCTTGGTTTATCAGCAACAAAGATAATTTAAATACATTTTAATAAAAAATAATTAAAGTAAACAAATGTATCATTTAGATATTTTTTGATATAAGAATACGTGCCTAATGTTTATTTCGCTACAGTTTGGTATCTAACATTTTATTCTGTTATTTAAAATTAATCAAATCATGACGGATCATTAAGTTTTATCGTTAATCCATTAAAAATGATTTCTTAAAATATGGAATTAATTAAAATAAAAATAAAATGAAAAAATGATTTCTTTCCCTCTCTTCCCCTTCTCTCTCTTTCTTTACTAGTAAAGTCCTTACTACTCATCAGGTGCTCCAAAAGCAGGGAAGAAAACTATTTTTTACACCATGATAATGATGGGTTTGATGTGTAGAAGCAGCATCAATTCCCTGCCTTTGACTGTATTTTGTTTTCTATAGATTTTGGTTGTTGCAAAGCGTAGATCTGTCTTGGGTTTTTTTTCCTTGGACCTTGATGGTATGATTTGTGTTTTCTAGAATCCTTCGACTCAAAAGTATGTTCTTTTGCTCTCTCCTCGCATGGGCTGCAGCACTTACGGTGCACCTGTAAAATTTGGGTTTGGGTTTGATTCAAGAACCAATGATTACAAAATACTTATTGTTAGGTTTGACAAGGCTGGTAATTTGATTCAACCTTATTTGTTTTCATTGAATGAAAGTTATTGGAAAAGGGTTGCTGCCATTACTCCCAATTATGGATTTGAAGATGATACTTCAATGTGATTCGTTAATGGAGCTGTTCATTGGTTAGGATACCAGAGAAGAAACAATGGTGCGTTTAGTAATTGGATTTTGGGGTTTGACTTGAGTGCTGAGGTGTAAGTTTGCAAACTGACCTGCATTTCACGAGGGACTTTATAGGTGAAGAGGGTGAAAGAGAAAGGGGAAAGAGAGGGAAGGAGAGGGAAAGAAGTCATTTTTTCATTTGAATTAATTTCTTATTTTAAGAAATCATTTTTAATATTAAAAAATATCACGTGGCATTTTTAATAGGTTAACGATCAAATTTAACGATCCGTTACGACTGGATCCATTTTGAGCAACAAAATAAAAAGTTAGGTACCAATCCAGAACGAAATAAACGTTAGACACTAAACTGAAAAAAAAACATAGATTAGACACATTTCGTATACTTAAGGCTATTTTTGACTTCATACCTTTATAGCATATAATATTAGTATTGAGAATAAAATTAAGGGATTTAAAAAAGAGAAAATAACCTTAGTAACCGAAAATGCCTTATAATATATGATTTTAATCATTTTTTTTGGATTTGCCCAAAATGACCAACAAATTCGCAACCCAGGTTCCAAATTCGCAACGCGATTTTAAGATTCGCAACGCGAAACTCCAAAATCGCAATGCATTTATTTCTTAAGAATTTTCTCTAAAAAGATAGTATCCGCGCGGACGTGTCGAAGACACGTATTACCATTACCACGACCGGACGAGCGGCGGCGGCAGCGGTGCCCGAGAGTCCCCCTTGTTCCCTTTCACTCAACAAGGAAGTGGGAAATCCAAGCCTTAAATACCCATTCCCAATAGTGTTTCCAATACTATGTGGGATTGAGTATTACCAACACTTGTTTCCAATGCTAAGTTGAAACATTTAACATTTAACACTTGTTTCCAACACTTGGTTTGTTTTGCAATATTTAAGTGATATTTGTTTGAGTTTCTTGGTTAGATTTTTAATCTTTCATTGTATGGTCCTTATGTGATCTTAAGTTACTAGTTTTATTTCAATGATTATATGAAATTTTCTTAATTCCGTAGAAGACCTCCGAATTATGAAATGACATCTGTAGGACTCGATCCCACGACCTCAAGGTTAAGAACCTTGTGCTCTACCAACCCCATTACATATGGGAACAAGGGACATCCATTTTATTTTAAATAAAAATGAGTTGCTTCTTTCAAAAAATAAATTATCATGTATTTTTTTATATTTTTTATTTATAATTTATTTTCAGCTTCATAATTTTATAATTTCGCAATTTCTTAAAATTTTAAAAATTTACATCATCTAACATAAAATCTCGTGTACGTTTATAACGATGAGTCTAATATTTTAATTTTATTTAGAAACAAACCCAAAATTTTAGTCTACGGAGAATTGAAATCATTGAATAACTTCCACTAGAAAATGTTAAAAGCCTTTGTAAGTATATGTGTGAGAGAGCTTCGAGCTTTTACTGATATCTAGTGGTACAGTAAAAGCTTGGTTGGCTAACATTATCGTCCATGGAAAAGGAATCATTAATAAAGAAAGGAACAAAAATGAGTTCCCTCTGAATGAATAGTTAAAAAAGGATTCTTTATTATACCATATCAACTATATATTTTTTATTAATACCATATCAATTATTAAATAATTGCTTTAGGTCCATTTTGCACCAAAGAAGAAGCCGTCAATACAACTTTGTGCTTTTCTTTCAAATCTTATCCTCGAGTTTTATAGTAAATCTTCATTGGCCAAGGTTGATACGTATACCACTACAACAAAACAAGTATATCGCGGGGTTTGTAGCGCTATTTTCAAAACAAACGCCATTAAATTGTTTGTATACCACTGAAGTCGTTGGCTTTCGAACCTGTAATATCTATGAACAATAACAATTCCTTTAACAATTGTACAATTGTTCGTGCAAATTATATTTTTCTTAAAATCATATGAAATCAATAATGAATATAATAAATTTTAATCAAACGAGTTGGTACAAAATATTCAAGGACTAGTCGCGAAATTCAATAATATAAAAATATAGTTACAAATATATCCAAAATCTCTAAGTAGAACGACAAATATCAATTAATATAAAATTTAATGATAAATCTTAATATTCACTAATATTATAATGACAAATGTACATTTTTAACTCTATTTTCCCTCGTAGATCGATGACATCAAAATCCTTCAAGCGTTCTTACTCTGACCAGGGTAAAGTTTTCGGCATAAGTCATTGAGCTAACGATGGAGAAAGACCATAATCTATAAGACAATATCATCAAAAATCTGTCACACGTAATACTTGGGGAAAGCTCTGTCATTACCAACAATCGAATCATGGAAACTTGTTCCATGGTCCCTTGTTTCATGTTTTTTCTTTACCCGCCTTTTAGGGTTTGTCTTTAACGATACCCAAAGAAGGAGTCAAGATTGAACTAGTGGAAGTAAGTTGCTTAACTTTTAAATGAATAAGGTCTCTAAAATTGAATAAACCATGAATTTTAAAGGAGTTGTGATTTAATTTCACCGATTTTAAAACCGAAGGGTCTTAAAGAGTAATTAAACTGGAAAAAAAGTCAAAAATCGATTTTAAAACTGTAAAGTTCTTCAAATACAACTAAAACAATAAATTGTAGGAGGAACAAAGACTTAATTATAAGAATTTCAAAAATATTGATGGCCTACAGCTAATTAAACCATCAAAATTAGGGGGATGCAGTTGCCCCTCCCACCTCCAAGGTAGAATCGTCCCTTAATCTTCCTGCGAATTATGGCTCAAAAAAAATGGCTGTCCCTTTTTTCCCATATATATGGGGTAAGAGGGAGGTAAGATAGTAGCTACCCCCAACACCAGGTTGAGAGCAGCTTCTGTAAGAGACCTCCGAATTATGGCTCAAAATTTTCACAAAACAGATGTTCCTTT